GCTGTCAAACGTGGAAATATTCCGACTAATCGAGGTAAAGTTATGCGAGTACCTCCTGATACACAGCGACTGTTGGACTTCAAAATATTCAGATAGGTTGAGGAAATCTTATGCAATTGCAACTCTAATCAAATGTACAGACGGACTTGGAAATATTACAACTAGTGCGAGAAAAGTTATGCGAGTGTTTTCCGAACTATTGCAGTTGTCGGACTTGAAAGTATTCCGAATAGTAGAGGGAAAATTATGCGAATGACTCCCGGAACTATGCGACTGACGGATTTGGAAATACTTAGACTTGACGAGGGAAAGTTAAGCCAGTGCATCTCGAACCAATGCGGCTGTCGGACTTGGAAATATTTCTTATAGTCGAGGGAAAGGTTTGTGAGAAACATGTGAACCAATGCTACTCTCAGACTTGGAAATATTCCGACTAGACGAGAAAAGGTCATGCGAGTGCCTCTCGAACCAATGTGGCTGTCAGACTTGGAGATATTCAGACTTGTCGAGGGAAAGTTATGCGAGTGCTTATCGAACCAATTTGGCTGTCGGACTTGGAAAAATTCCTCTATTCCCAATGTTTCAATCTTTGGCATTCCTTCCACCTTTAAGATTAAATAAACCTGGACTCAAATAACAGTTATCCACATAAAGGATATAGCTCTTTCCAAGATAAAACATCATAAGTGAACTATTGTTCTCGTTTTTCCAATAGTCTTATATTCGCTATCTATTACGATACATTATTCTGCATAAACAATCATAACTTGTATACATTTTATCTGATATTTATTGAGAATAAAGAATTTCATGTCAAATCTGCTTCTTTTTAGAGGAATGTATTGTTTGAAGGACACCAGCCGCCTTTTATACAATAGTAAACTTTCGTCAATACACAGCCATTGGTAAAGTTGAAATGATTGACTTTTCGTTTCGATCAGAATGTCATTGATATGTTAGGAAAAATATACAGGTTTATCGTAATATATCGTAACATAACGAAAAACCTGTATGTTTTCTTAACATATCAATGACGTTCCATACTCTGCATAAACGATCATTAGTACGTTCGATATCATGGGTGAAACGTAGCATTCCTAACAATTTAAAATAACGATCTCTAGTCATTATATCTGCATGAATATGACTATGCAGTCATATGACAGAATTTGTCTTTATTTCAGTACTGCATTTATGACAATTCTTTGTTGCGGCTGGATTGCGTCATTGGATCAGGTAGTTGCCCCATCGCCACCAGCTGTCAATGTCATTTCATTCTGTACCGAAAACGATTTTGCCAGAGCACTTGGCTAGGGAGATTGTTACACCGACGGTAAAATATTATCAAGTATTGGTGAAAACAAGACAATATTGTTGGACAGATTAGTTGTAGAAAAAAGTTCTGACATTCAAAAGAGAAGGTCAATAATTTTTTCTTATTTGGCATAGACACTCACATAGCCCTTGAGTTTTATAGGTAAATTGAAGCCAAAGATGAATTCAATTGTTTCGAGTTTTATCCCACTATCTGAATAAAGAATCAAGCACATAAAAAAAGAATAATAAATATTTCTTACTTTAAGTTTCGAGAGAAAATGAAATTTTTTTCCTTCGTAGTAAATGTAGCGTGAAGAACGTAAGAATCAATGGAAAAATGAGAGAAAGAGAAAATAAAATAATAAAAATGTTAATATTCCTTACTATCAATAAATAATTACTTCTGTCGCATATCAACGTCGTGCACCATAATAAACTAGGCATTTCAAAATCTTGTTTAACGTATCGCAATAATTTCTCCGTTATTCTCTATAATTTATATATTTAATCAAATATATATGTACATTTATTTAAAAAAATAAATGTGATAATATCGAATAGCAATTTCCGTATCGCTCTATATTTATTCCTTTTATATTTTTTTCCTCAATATTTTATTTTTTTTCTCCTTTTTATAATGACAAAAAGACCTTGAAAAATGGCAACAAATCATTGATGTTTGATCCATTGAACCAAGATGCTATGACGGATTTGGTACTTTTATGGAATATCCTAGCGAAAAATTAGAATGTGGACGTTTCCTAGATTATGAGTATATCCGATTACATATATGCATTTGTGTATACCATTTGGTAATGATACATTGGAGATATACAACTGACGAATATATAGGATGTCTGAAAAGTATGAGACCGAATTTATATTGCTTATTACTGAGGTCTAAAAGATGAAGAAGGTTTATGTAAACTTATATCCAAAAATGCATTATTAAAGGATGCATGCTTTTCGCATATACTGATATTTTGAATAAATTTTCGTACAAGCTTTAACAAATAATAAATGAAAATTATACGTGTGAATGCAGAATAATGAATCGCCGGTTAGAAACATCAAAATTGAAGAAAAAAAGAAACAAAAGACAAAAAATATGTTTTCTCCTTCACTTTAGATTCTAGAGTACTTTTAAACACATTTGAAATCTTTCTCTTTGTTTATAAGATTGATTGTACGCGATGTGCGTATAATAGAATTGAAATTATTATTAATATTATTGTTATGATTATTATTATCAGAGAATGAATACGTATACGTATTACGATAGAGAGATAGAGAAAGAGAGAAAGAGAAAAAGTGAGAGAGAGAGTAAGCGAGAAAGAGAGAGAGAGAGAAAGAGAGATTAGACGTGCTTATTCTAATAGCGTTTCGCGGTTTCGACGTTTGAATAATAACATGTATCACTGTAAATGACGAACTTAGAAGGTTATAGGCGATTATTATCAAAAATGAATGCAAACAATTTCTACATGCTCTTAATGTGTATGTGTGTATGTTAGAAGATTATAGTGCTAGCTAGTTGTGTGTCTGTATATAAATGTGAGATATCCCGGCCACAAATAGACAGAAGAACGGAAAGTTCCAGAATCTTCCGGGTCGTATGTTGTGTATATGTGAGACAAATTCGTCATGATCATGGTCTTTGCGAGGTGCGTATGTTTATGGAAAGAAAAGTAGAGCTGAAATATTGGGAAAGAAAAAGAATAAAGTTGAAGTAAAGAAAGTGGTGGATAACGTCTTCTCAAGCTACAATAGACAAATGCATTACACAAATTGCTATAAATATATAATCAGAATGACAATAAACTAAAATATTCCTATAATAAAAAGCGTTACACATATTGATGTCCTTTATAATACGGTTCGTATTGAAATCTAAGATAAAATGGGTTGTCTCCAGTTTTATATCCATGTCTGATATAATTTTTTTCTTTACCTTCATTAGAAGAACCTTCATTATCTGCGGCATATATATCCGCTCCGTATTGTCGTCTCTATATCTTCTAGAATAATTATATAATAAAAATGAAACTATCTTTCAATTCTATTATTTACATATAAAATAGCATTTCTAAAAAATAATTTTGAATATTTATAAAATATAACAATTAGAGGTTATATATTTTTCTAATTGATTTTCAACATATATCTAATATTAATAATAATACAACAGTATTCAAAATCGCAAAGACTTTAATTCGATTTATTTAAATATCTAATTAACCTAATACATGCATGAGTACTAAATTAAAAAAAAGTTTCTCACATCTCTTTTTAAAGTTAACAGGTCGAAGAACTGACAATACTACTAGAAGTATACTTCCTAACATGGATAATGCTCTATCTCTACCATTTTTTGCTATTTTCTATTTAAAAGTTGTTTTCCTTGTAATTATTATTATTTGGAATGTACTGATCATTCAATAATATATACCATCAGAACCAAGTTTCACACGGATAGATATATATATACACATTCCTTATGGTGGACATACCCGCTGCAAATTATATTGATTAGTATATATTTAGTATAAGTTTGTATATATATATATGCATAGATACAGGTGTACATATATTACAGTATATTTCTATGTATAATCTGAAAAGAATGGATAATGGTTAACAGGTGCAATATACTACCGCTAAAGTTAAACAATAACATTAGAAAATATATTGAAAAGGGTCTAAAGGCATAATTTGTTTTATCCAATGAAATAACATAGTTTACGTTAAAGATTCTCAGTACATTTCTAAAGAATAGTGCATTCTTAGAGCATTACAATTCATTTATTTCACAATTAAAATTTGAACCATGTGCTAGAAGTGCTAGAATAATTGGTGAAGAAGCAACTAGAAGGGTATTTGCAAATTAATGATATGAAGAAAAATCAATCTAGCTTTAAAAAGGAGTACTCGAGTGAAAGTGCAAATTAAATTGCCGTTGACAAGTGGAAATTAGCAATTAGCAATGGCAAAATGGTGAAAGTAATTTTCATGGATCTTAAGCGAACCTTTGAAACAGTATAGAGATTAAGACTAATTTCAAAACTGTATCGATATGGAAATAGACAGAATGTTTTAAAATGGTTAAAATCATATTTAAATAATGGAACGCAACAATTATTTTTCAACGTATAGATGGTCACATTCAATTAACGCTGAGCATGGAGATTCACATAGATCCTGTATTGGTACTGTCATTACTTATTATAGGCATAAATGATGTAATCAGAATATACTCCGTAGGGTGTAAAATAAAAATGATTGAATTAATTCATGCTACTGAAGAAGCAAGCATAAAGTTGGATATGAAAATGAAAAAGACGTTTAATATACCAGAGGAATGAAAACATATGAATAGATTGAAAATAAATGCAGAAATGACGAAATCGTCATCAACATCATCATCATAGTCATCATCATAATCATCATCATCATCATTATCAACACCACCACCACCACCACCGCCACCACCTCCACCACCATCATCATCATTATCAACACCACCACCACCACCACCGCCACCACCTCCACCACCATCACTACCACCACCAACATCATTATCATCATTATCATCATCATCATCATCATCATCTATATCATTACTATAATTATTATTATTATTATTATTATTATCATTATTATTATTAACCACGGAGGGGGCAAAGATGCTGCTCAACCAGGTAATGCGCAAGGTCATCTCATGGATGGAAGACCACGGGCTATCTCAAGCATCTCAGAAGACAGAGATCGTGCTATTTACGAAGAAGCGCAACAACACCTTGCAAAGCTTCATTTTAGGAGATGCAGCGATCAAGACTAAGTCGGCTGTCAAATATATAGGTATAATGCTCGACAAAAACCTTAATTATGGAGAGCATATATTCAGGGCAGCCGACAAGGCGGCAAAGATTGTAGCCTCGCTTGGCACACTCATGGCAAACGTCAACAGGTCCCGACTGTTAATGAGGCGCCTACAAATGCGCGCCACCAAAGCAGTGATGCTGTACGGCGCGGAAGTTTGGGCCTGCTACACGTGAAATACCGCAAGCACATAGACACGGTACAGAGGAGGGGCGCTCTCCGAATCATGTGTTCTTACCGCACGATCTCTGTTCCCACGGTGCTAGTGTTCGCGGAGGTGGTACCGATCAATCTACTAGCACAGGAGAGAAAATTCCTCCACAACTAAAGGCTCTTTCTGGGAATGGAGGAGACATCAAGCTCGCCGGGTCTACCAGCATCGAGACCTGGCAAAGCAGTTGGGAACAGGAGCATCGGGGCAGATGGACTGTCAGACTCACCAGCCAGCTAGTTAGCTGGCTAAATCGGGAGGCGGAGGAGGTCGACTTCTACCTCACACAATTTTTGATAAGACATTTTGGAGTTTATTCTTACATCACAAAAATGAGGAAGGTTGCAGACGGCAACTGTCCCTATGGCGATTTTACCGTCGACAACACCCACCACACATACTTCAAATGTGCCCGGTGGAGCGTCGAACGACTCGCCTTGGAGAAAGACTTTGGAAAATACTCGCCAAACAATGTTGTCGAGAAAATGCTCCGAGGTCAGGAAGAGTGGAACAAGGTGGCCTGATACGTAAGGGCTATGTTGCGTAGAAAAAGGAAGGAGATGGATGGCCCATAGACATGCCCCCAACGTTGCTCCAGGCTCCAGCCCCATAGAGCCGAAGGAAGAGCCCCGTAAAGCGATCTGATGCAGTGGCGCCATCCCGAAGTATTGCCACATGACAATGCCGGAATGGTTTCACTATGCCACTAGGATGGAAATATGGATATGAGTATATTCGGTAGTGCCTATTCCAAAGGTAAGCCCGACAATCCAGGGACCTCAATGGGGGAACCAAATAGTAAAGGGCTCCTCTGGCTGGAGGAGTCCCTAGGTTAGTGCGTAAAGATTGGCATTCTCAGGCCATCAAAAAAAAATTATTATTATTATTATTATTATTATTATTATTATTATTATTATTATTATTATTATTATTATAATTATTATTATTATTACAATTATTATTATTATTATTATTATTATTATTATTATTATTATTACAATTATTATTATTATTATTATTATTACTATTAGTGCGACATAACTCGACGACTTATGTTAGTGTATATCTCACACCGAACGACCGGATAGACGAATTCCAAATCAAACTGGACGATCTGGAAGACGCGCTGCGGGAAATACAAGGAGATCTCATTGCCGCTGGAGACCTCAATGCCAAAGCTCTCGAATGGGGGGAGGCCAGGCCGGACTCCAGAGGAAGGCGTATCATGGAGGTGGCGTCAAGACAGGAACTATCAGTACTTAACACAGGTTCGACGTCAAACTTCCGCAGGCCTGGCTACAGAGAGACGATCCCGGATGTCTCTCTAGCCAACGAACACCTTGTGGCAAGAGTCGCCACAAGGTGTTCGTTGTCACCGGCTGGCGGGTGATTCGAGGGTGATCGAGGATTATACCGGGAGCGACCATCAGTACATCCTAATAGATGTACATGATAGGAGGCCAGCCGTGACACGTGTAAAGCGACCCCCCCGGTGGAAAATTGCAAGATTGGATCGAGAGAGGCTGTCTGCGGTCATAGAGGAAGGATGGAGATCCCAACAAAGTACTTCAGCGAGTCTATCGCCACCTGCACAAGCCGGGTTGATTAGCGCAGCAACCATGCAGCTCATTCAAAAGGCTTGTGCGATAGTGGTGCCAAAGAATGGCACAAGACGGCAGAGACGCCCTACGTAATCGCAGATCTACGTAAGAAGTGCTTAAGGCTACGCTGTTTAGCACAACGTGTAGAGAGACGCGACGACGACGCTGCTCCTTTGGCCGCAACTATCAAGCGGCCAAGAAAGCCCTGAAGAGGACCATTAAGGCCAGTCAACGACGGTGCTGCAAGGAGCTGCGCCTGGATGTCGACCAGAATCCGTGGGGATTAGGGTATGTCATCGTCACTCGCAACCTGGGGAGGAACACGCAAGAGACCCCTCAGGACGCGAGGACGTTAGATCACATCGTGCTTACTCTATTCCCCCCACAGCCGAAGAGAGAGATCAGCTTGGATGCGCCTGGATTAAGCGATGTACCGCAATTCACGGAAGAAGAGCTACTCAGGGCCGCATCATCTATGCGGTACAAGAAAGCTCCAGGTCCAGACGGACTCCCAGCAGAAGTAATTAAAGTTGTCGCGCAAAGTCACCCTGAGCTATTGCTGAAGATGTATAACACGTGCCTCAGGGGGGGCATCTTCCCGCTCCATGGAAGAAAGCGAGGCTTGTGCTCATTAGCAAGGGCAAGGGTCCAGTAGGGGCAGCTTCATCATACAAGCCTATTTGTTTGCTCGATACGGCCGGAAAACTCCTGGAGAAGCTGATAAGGCCAAGGCTGCGCGCAGCCGTGCAGGCAGCGGGGGATCTCGCCGGTCGCCAGTACGGATTCCGTTCCGGCATCCACGCAGTCCTGGAGGTAGTCACGGCCGCGAAAATGATGGAGCGAGGCAATCATCGAACTCGACCTTTGTGCCTCCTGGCCACCATAGACGTGAAAAATGCCTTCAAATCCGTCAGGTGGGAACTGGCAAGGGAAGCGCTCGAACGTAATTTCGACGTTCCAAAGTACCTACTCCGAGTAATTGACGATTATCTAAACGAGCGCGTCCTATTATACGACACGAGTGATGGTCCAATAAGCTTGGAATTGACATCGGGGGCAGCCCAGGGCTCCATACTGGGACCGGATATATGGAATATATTCTACGACGGTATCTTTCGTATGGCAGTCCCAGAAGTTACTTTCTTGGTTGGATATGCAGGTGACATTGCAGTTGTCTTAATTGCAAGAGACACGAAGGGGGTACAGTGGATGCTCAACCAGGTCATGCGGAGAGTTACCTCCTGGATGGAAGACCACGGGCTATCTCTAGCAGCCCAGAAGACAGAGATCGTGCTAATTACGAGGAAGCTCATCAACACCTTGCGCAGCTTCATTGTTGGAGATGCGGCGGTCCAGACTAAGCCGGCTGTAAAATATCTCGGGGATATGCTTGACAACAAACTTAACTATGGTGAGCATATTATCAGAGCAGCTGACAATGCGGCCAAAGTAGTAGCCTCGCTGGGCAGGCTCATGGCCAATGTTAACGGTCCCCGGCCGTGCATGAGGAGATTACTGATGAGAGCAGCCGAAGGAGTGATGCTATACGGTGCGGAAGTATGGGCCGAGGCGCTGAAAAAACAGAAATACCGCATGCGCATAGCCTCGGTACAGAGGAGGGGCGCCCTCCGAATCGCGTGCTCTTTCCGCACGGTCTCAGAGCCGGCAGTGCTAGTTGTCGCCGGTGTAATCCCGATCGATCTATTAGCCCAGGAGAGGAAATTCGTCCATCAGCAAAGGTGTGTCGTGGGAAAGGAGAAGGCATCAAGGCTTGCCAGGTCTACCAGCATCAAGGCCTGGCAAAGTAGATGGGAGAAGGAACGTAGGAGCAGATTGACCCATCGACTCATCAGTTAAATAGACAACTGGTTAAATCGGGAGGCGGGAGAGGTCGTTTTCTACCTCACCCAATTTCTGACAGGGCATGGCCTGTTCCGCTCCTACCTGGTTAGAATGAGGAAAGTAGCAGACGCCAACTGTCCGTCTGGGGTCACGATCAACGACGAAGCCCACAGCACGTTTTTTTTTATGTAGTCGGTGGAGCGCAGAACGACTAGCCTTGGAACAAGACCTCGGAGTCATCTCGCCGGACAACATCGACGAGAAAATGCTACGTGGGCTGAAGGAGTGGAACAAGGTGGCATGGTACGTCAGGTCAATCTTAAGCAAGAAGAAGGACATGGGTGGCCCATAGAATAGCCTCCAAACGTTGCTCCTGGTACCTGCCACGTAGAGCCGAAGAGGGAGCCCAGTTAAGGGACAACAAGAATTGGCGACATCCTGAAATAATGGCACATGGCGGTGAAGGGATGGTTTTACTATGCCACTAGGATAGACATGAGTTTAGTCGGTAGTGCCTATTCCAACGGTGAGACCGACACTCCGGGGAATTTAACAGGAACCCAAATGGTGAAGGGTTCCTCTAGCGGGCAGGGTCCCTGAGTTAGTGCGTAAAGTATCGCATACTCAGACCATCAAAAAAAAAGGAAAAAAAATTACTATTACAATTACTAATACTAATACCTATTTCTATTACCATTATTATTTCTATTATTATTATTATTAATATTACAATTATAATTATTATTAATTTTACTATTATCACTATTATTAAAATTATTATGATTATTATTGTTATTATTATTATTATTATTATTATTATTATTATTATTATTATTATTATTATTATTATTATTATTATTACTGATACAATTACCATTACTATTCTTATTACCATTACTGTTACTATTACTGTTACTATTACCACTACTATTACAATTACTATTACTATTTCTTTTACTAAATCTATTAATATTACTATTACTCTTCCTACTACTATTGCTGCTATTTTTACTATTACTATTACGTTATTTTTTATTAATTACTATTACAATTACTATTACTATTACTATTACTATTACTATTTTTATTCTTATTACTACTAATATTACTATTATTATTATTATTATTAATATTACCATTATTATCTATATTAATATTACTATTACTATTATTATTAATATTATTAATATTATTATTATTTTTATTACTATTACTTTTGTTATTATTATTATTTTTATTATTATTATTATAATTATTACTATTATTATTATTATTATTTCTATTATTATTATTACTGTTACTATTACTAGTACTATTACCATTACTATAACTATTACTGTTATTTTTACTATTACTATTACGTTATTTATTATTAAATACTATTACTATTACCATTACTGTCACTATTACTATTATTAATATTATTTTTACTACTACTAATATTACTATTATTATTATTATTATTATTATTACCATTATTATTTATATTAATATTACTATTACTATTATTAATAATATTATTAATATTATTATTTTTATTATTATTATTATTGTTATTATTATTATTATTATTATCATTATTATTATTACTATTAACATTACTTTTATTATTATTATTTTTATCATTATTATTATTATTAATATTATTATCATTATCATTATTGTTATTGTTATTATTATTATAATTATTATTATTATTATTATTACTATTATTATTATTATTATTTCTATTATTATTACTGTTACTATTACTAGAACTATTACTGATACTTTTCTATTACTATTACGTTATTTACTATTATTCACTATTACTACTACTATTACTATTACTGTTACTATTACTATTACTATTACTATTACTATTACTATTATTGTTACTGTTACTATTACTATTACTATTACTCTTACTGTAACTATTACTATTACTATTACTATTTCTCTTATTAATTTCATTACTATTACTATTACTATTAATATTACTATTACTATTACTATTACTATTACTATTACTATTTCTATAATTATTTCTATTACTATAACTATTATTATTACTATTATTATTACTATTGCTATAACTTTAA